TATAATGCAGCTCTTTTCTAGATTAAGCAGAAAGAGCAGTACTAATTCACAGAGTCTATTTTGAAGCAGCTGTTAATTCCCTCAATAAATGCCCAGGCCTGATGGGCACTATTGCCCAAGACAAGCTGTATTTGTTTTTATTCCAGATGGAACATTTTATTTCTATGTCCATCCTGCCATGTGTGACTTTGTAAGATCAGATGTTCCACCAAACACCGTACATTCAGAGATCATGGTAACTCCTAAGTCAGTTTTGATTTTATCATTTCAAAACCTACCAATGCAGCATAATAGTTTACAACATTTATCTGCCAGGTTAGAGCTCAAGTGGATAACTCTAACCCTGTAATGTGTGAAATACAGCTAAAACCCACTTTATTTTATTGAACCCTGTTTAATATTTTTAACAAGATCAACTCCTATTTATTGAGGTTATAATTAAGCCGTTGCTGCAGAACTGCAAGCACAGCAGTTTCACAAATTTGCATCCAGAAATCAAAGTAATGTGTTTCCTAAGTAAAAAGAACTTTCCTTGAAACTATTTAGTTGAAATATACTTTTCTTTCTGTGTTGTGACACATCTGTAAGTTTCAAATTGTTCATATGCAGCATGAACAAAACCATAGTGACTTTCACTACTACTCAGACACTCATACAGACACACCTAAATAAATGCTCTCTTCATGTTAACTTTTATTAACCTGTTTGAATATATTTGTGGAGATGGAGCCCAAATAAATAGCAAGTACAGACAAATCCTGAGACAATTCACAATTTAGAATTGTGTGGTAAAAATTCAGAAAAAATAATGAATGGTAACAAAATATTTAATTCTTGAAATATTTCTTGCCACATCGTTCAGTAGTCCATTGTAAGAAACATGAAAATACAATATCAATAATTTCGGTTTAAAAGCTATTTCATGTACCAACTTGATGTTCAACCTTGCAGCATTCTTTTCTTGACCTCCTGATTTCAACTTATTCACACCATGTAACTGACGGGGGTTTTGAGGAGGTATGGGCAGGAGGGGAGATTCAGCTCAGATACTAACTCAGAACTTGCAGTTGTTTCTGTGAGAGTAACATTTTATCTACACACCACAGAAGAAATAGGTTTCACGGGAGTTGGTGGTCTTTTTTTTTTGATTGGAGATTGGTTTTATTTCTTTTTAGTATGGCTTTAAGTCTATACAGGTAGCACTTTGGAACTATTAAGATAATAAACTGACATCTTAGAAATGAATTTTATTAGTCAAGTATCAAAAGTGTAGGGGCTTGGCCTGGAAACTTTTTAGGCCACACAAGCAACCTTTCCCACAGAGGTAATCAGTGGGACTACTCATGCAACCAAGTTATTCACACGGTAAATGTCTGCAGAATCAGACTCCAAATTAGCATTTTAGAAGCATACCGCTGCCTCAGTGGATTATTCACAAATACAGAAAAAAAATGTGGGTAGTTTTCAAACAATTGCTGTAAACTCTTTCTATCCTGACATTTTTCCATGTTTAGCATAGTCTTAGAATGATAACAGCTGGACTATCAACTACCAGAGCTAAAAAAATATTAGGAAAGATGATTATAAAAACACTCCTATCAGCCAAAAAAATTTTTTTTCTAAATGAAAAGGTAGAGTTAACTGCTCTTCTCTTTAAAGAAGAGTATAGTTAGCCCTCAAAACCTGACCACATTGTATTTCTGGACTACAAAGAAGAGTACAGAAATTTTAGATTTAAATAGTTTATAATAGAATAGGTTCAGTCTATAGCAGCTGTCTTCAACCAAGTTTTATACTTCACTCCAGATGATAATAACTTTTGGTTCCATAGCACTTCTACTATTACTCTGGTGTGACACAAATTCCCACTGTGAAGCATACTACATCTAAATAGCTTTGTGTACATACTACCACATCTACCTAGTATACTAGAGATTTGTTACTGTTTTGCCAAACTACAGGAGAAACCATCTGAGGGAGTTATATATATCTGGATTTAATCAAATCATATCCTAAGCAGTCCTCTTCTGAAGAAAAGGTTGAGAGTTTCTTCTCTCTCAGATTAATTTGCAAAGTGCTACATGTCTTCCCTTCCATTAGAGAGAGTTGAGGATAGTCAGTGTTTTGGATTACAAGTTCTAAAAAGGAGCATACACAAGCAACTCCCTAATGAACGAAAGGGTTCCTTGGAAATCAGAGTAATTGGTCAAAAAAAAAAAAAAAATTTGTAACTGAAATTCCAGTTAAAAGGGAAAAAACCAAACAAACAAAAAAACCGCAAACAAAAATACAAAAAACCACCACTTCAGTAAGAGAGATGGGTATTTTTTCCCCCAGAAGGGCCACTACAGTGAAAGTCTGTTGTTCACATTAAAGAAAGTACTGAAGTACGGGGAATATATTTTAAAATTCAGCTTGCACACTAGCACAGGATATTTCAACATAATATTAAATGTAAACAACCTTATAAACCAAATAGAGTTCATTTAAATTGCAGTAAGGTTCTCTTATACCTTCCACTGGCATGCTAAAAGGTCTGCATCAGGTATTCTTTGACAGCAGCTTGGCACTTTACATTTAGAGTGAAAATGTGACACCCTACACTTACACATTGAAAAAAAATAAAAAGCTTTAAAGTGCTTGCTACTTAATGTATAAAAGAAAATACTTGAAGGAAGTGCCCACAGGTTTCCTGAGAAATCATTTTGGATTTCAGAATCCCAAGGAGATGAATCGGCTGTCAGATAACAATGCGCCTTCATCAGATGGACTTGGCAGTTGTAAACAAGAACAATTTTCTCAGCTTTTCCTCACAAATATGAAATATTTGCTCTTAGCCAACAGCTGGGGTGGTTTAAAGACATTCTGCATATATATTCAAATTACAAGTCACCCACACACCTAACACTGACTGAATTCCAGCAAATTAAAGAAACTGACAAGTGTTGGAGCAGATACAAAATAATTCTGAAGACAAAACACAAACTGACTTCATAGGTCTAAATAACTAAATTTTCAAATCTCATAGTTTGCCTGCTGAAGAGTGAGGAAAAATAACTCACAAAAGTAGCCACAGTTATCATAATTTCTCTTCAGAACTAGTGTCCCATGTAAATGGAAATATCTACCACTTTCCAGTTATCACAGAAAAACCGAAGGAAAAAAAACAGAAAACATAACGGCAAAATACAAGCACATCAAACAAATAAATTTTACTATTACATTTAATTTTTCTCTCGTATTACAACCCTATACTCCAGAAATATTACCAGCAAGCGTCTTGAAATTACAACAAGTTTAAAAGTTTTTGAAATTGGTTAATAAATCAGATAGCAAGATCTTACTTCGATATAATCAAGAAATAAGGCTGACTAAAAACTGTTTTAAAACTTTGCAAGCATTTGGTATCTCAGTGTCAAACCAGATTCACACTGAAAGCATGGATCTTTTAATGTTTATTAATGTTTCATGTATGTGTACTTACTTCTGCAATATGAACTACACTGTTTAATTTTTTTATCTAGACATTATAAACCAAATTTAGGTATGTGTATATATTATTCCAATATTTCCCTCAGCAGGAGAAGCTGTACTAAATTCCTATGCTTTGTACAAAGTTTAAAACACATTGTAAAAAGTATTGCATTAAGTGTTTTAATACGACTCAGAAATGCATAGTCAGTTTTTTTTTGAAGAGCAATCGATCTCATTAAAATTTATTAAAAAAAAAAGTTGTACTATATAATAACACTTCCATTTTTAGGTCAAAAAGTTACTCTGGTTTATTTGAAAAAATGAGGTAATTATCTCAAATACATAACATTTCAACTATTATAGAAACATCATAATTACACTGGTGGTTACTAAGTCTCTTGAATAACTTTGTCAAAATGACCAACCCAACCATAATGGTTTGTGGGGGTTTTCGTTTTAAACACACAGCAGCTGTGGATACAAAGGAACTTTAATAAGACAAACCATGCTCAGGCCAGTCCTGCTTTCCAATGGAGTAAAGTAGAAATACTTTTATGAAGTTAAAGCAGCAGCATATGAAAAACTAAACAAGACCTCAGAGGCATTCTTAAAGAAAAGGTGATATAATGAAAATGCAGCAACTAAGACGCCTAATAATGAAGACACCACTCTGAAGTTCTACATTAACATATTAATACAGTGACATTCTTGGACTTTCCTGACTCCAAACTGAAACTACGTCCAGCAATCAGCATCTTGTCTTTAACAAGTCAAATGTTCCAAGCTGTGCAATACATTTTAAAAAACATTTGCATTTGAAGTGCAACATAAGAAGAAGGCACATACTGAAACTTAAGCAGCTAGAATAAAAAGCTAAACTAGTTTGGGAACCACTCATTTTCTAGGTTTCACTGCAACCAAGCAGGTGTTTGTCCTTCAGCTTCGCCAGACAAGATCCTCTCATCTCTGCTCCCTCTTCTCTCTAGGCAGTGCTCAATATTTTTTTAAATCCAAGTTCAAATCATTTTTGAAAGCTAAAGGTTCATATTTTTTCTAAGCCCTTGTAAAAGTTTTAATCATATAAAAACTGGAGTAAAATTCAATTGCTGCTTTCATACTACAAAACAAGACAACACCTCCAATACGACATTGTTTAAAACATCTAACATGTCCAAGATTAGCACCTAACACTGTACGTCGGAACAGGCTTTTTTTGGTGTATTTATGTTTTAAGAAGTCCTTGTGCATTCAGATTCAAGTGACAATATCTGATCCTATTCAAACTATTTCTTACAGGACAATTGCAGTTTAAACTTCAAATCTGGACTGCTCATGAATGCTCCTCCCCCCCCCCAGCCAAGTCCCATACATACTGCTTGAGAATTTCTTATTTCTCTTGTGTCTCAATAAGGTTAGAAGTCCCAAGTTTAAACAAAAACTTTAAAAAATCTGAAGCCTGTACCTTAACACGCAACTAATTTCACCACAAAAAAAAAGTTCATACTTTTAGAATTAAAAATACTTACAGCCTCTCCAGCTCTTTTAAATCCTGGAATGCTCCTCTCTCAATAGTACTAATCTTGTTTTCCATGAGCTGACTGAAATATAGAAATTTTTATATATAAGTTTTAATATCTCTGAGATAACTCGTTGTGTTAACAGTGGTATTTAGAGGCAACTACATATTCATTAAAACAATACAAAGCTATCGTAGAGCAACATCCACTTTAACCTTCCAGACCCCTGTGATCAACAATTTACATGGGCTCATATACCCAAAAGAAGGAAAATAATCTTCAGTAAAAGAAACAGGAATTGATATTACATTCACTCAGTTTAGGAGTCCCAAGTTAAAAAAACTACACATATGCTTACACACTGTGTGCTCACATGCACACACATCACTGCTCTTCGGCAAGCTACAAGACTCCAGTCGAACAGTATGAAGGCGATATTAGTTTCACATGAGAATAACAAAACTAAAATACTGGTGTTGGGAGAAACATCAGTGAAAGACTGTACAGAGACTGTAACCATAACAGTAGTTCTGTTTTGTAACAAAATTAAAAATTACTACCGTGTTATATTCTATTTCAGAGAGAAACAGAAAAGGATTTTATAAGACTGCTTGCTCAAATTAAGCCAGCCTTACCAAATAAGTTGCTAGATTTTTTCCTCTGAAAAAAAGAAAAGCCTACAAAATGTTAAAACTTTCAGAATGCTTGAAACAAAATTATTTAAAACAAACAAAAACCCACCCAAACAAACCAACCAAACAATTCCTTTCTCAAATTCACTCTTGAAGAGTTTCTTTTTCGTACAGAAACTGCAGAAAAACAATAATCAACTGGGATTTGCCTTTACCTTCAGTAAAGGAATAACTTTTTTCTTAATGAATTCCCCTACAGTTCAGGTTGAGCGCACCCATTTTCAGTGCAAACTGTAAATTTCATAACCTTAAACTGAATTGACTCCAACCACTTTCAGTAGCTCTTACTTGTAAGCTACACATCAAATTAAATCCTCAAGTTCTCATAACCTCAAGGAGAGAATAAAGAATTTTAGGAAAATTATATTTAAGGCAATTTCTAACTTATTCATAAGTGTATAACACATGGCAAAGGGATTTTAAGTTCAGATGCAGTAGCACAATAGTTAAAAAGTAATAACCCATCCACCTAATGAACTGAAAGGTAACTACAAAGTCTAGCATCAATCCTGTAAGATATCAATGATAGAAAGAGAAAACTTACAGAACTCGAAGATGCCTTAGACCAGCAAAGTCGGTCTTCGTGATTCTTGTGATGTTATTTCCATTAAGATCCCTAAGAAGAATAATTTATAAGCAGCAAAATTAAAACATTCAACAGCTACTCTTCAATTGTTTTGTTTGTTTTCACAGGCACAGCATTTTCAGAAGTTAGGAGACGTAAATGAACACAATGAACCATTCCTACAGCTAACACCCTGTGAGTTCCTGATTTCCAAGTAACTGAACCAAGGTTCTGAATCTTGAAAGCAGTAGTTTGAAACTTTGTAACAAGACTTAAATAGTCATTTCTGCCTGCCATTATAAAGCTCACATGTATCTTTAACAACAATCTTTAACAATAAAAGAGTCAAAACTCTCAAAATATGGTTATAACTGCATTTACAAAACCACTAAACCTACTACATATATATATGCTGCAGTATTTATTTGACTGTTACAAAATTAAGTGACCCAAATAAGGACAATTTTAACCATTTTTGAGCCACTTTCAGATTTCCTACTATAGCTACAAATGTGGAAGAGAGCTTAACTTCCTATAACAAACATTACGTTTCAAACAAGCTGTTGGAGTAAAACACTGCTTGAGTAAATGATAAACACTGTTGGAGTAAATGATGGAAAATACAATTTTACCAAAACTTAGCTCTTCACTTGCTGCAGAGGAAGCTATGCTGACTGCACAATGAGAAGCATATTCAGAAGCAATGGAAACCTGCATTTAGGCCCTACCATTTCTGTTCACACTTCTGAACTACTTTTTCCTCTGGAGTATATGCCTTTTTTTTCATAACTTTTTGAGTTCAAGACAAACTTCTCTCAATTCCAATCACTACAAATAAAACCAGACTTGGCAATTCCTGAGGTAAGCCATTAGGAAGTGGTATTACATGGAAGCTACTCTAACAATTACAGCTCATTCCCAACGTAGTCAGAAGGAAAAAAAAGGTATTTTTTTAGTGTTTTATACCACATGTGGCCAAAACATCACTGCAAAGAAACCACTCAAGTCTCAGGAGAAATGTGTCCCTGATATTCTTCCTGAGTGAAATCCACCACTCCAGACGTGTTCATATGCTAACACTTAAATGACTTATTACAGAGCAAGAAATAATGCGCTCACCTCTCCCACTCCCTAAGACCCCTCCGAAAGGAAGCCTGATATGATAAATAACTGACCACATGTAGAAAACACCCCCAGCCGCGGAGTACGCAAGAGGAGGGGAGGGATCACCGCTGTGCCACGACTTCGTGCCCTGCGAGTGCGAAGGCGGCTACCGCACTCCTGTGTGCCCTCGCCCGCCGGCAGATGCCGAGCCCCGCGGGCTCCCCCCTCACGCCGGGGCAGCGGCGGCAGCGCCCCCCGTCCGCCTCTCCGAGCGGGAGGGAGCGCTGCGTGCCCCGGGGCCTGACTGCCCGCGCCCACGGAGCCGGGCCCGGCTCTGCCCCGGGGAAGGCGAGCCGTAACAGCCAACTTTGCCGGGAAATGGGCGCCGACGGGGGGAGAGGCCGCTCCGCCGCCGCCGCCTTAGGGCACCTCTCGGGCCGCGGCGGTGCCCGCCCCGCCGCCACCGCTCCCCGCGGAGGAGGCAACGCACTCCTCACCGCGGCTTCCCGGGATGGAAGGCAGCGGCTGGGAGTAGCGCCCACCTCTCCCGCGTCTCCGCGCATCGCCGCGAAGCGGGCACGGCCAGGGGCAGGAGAAGGGAACAGACACCCCCCCAACCAAAGGGCGTCGGGACCCCAAACCCGGCCGGCGCCGGGGGCCACCTCAGTCCTCCAGCCAGCGGGAACCCAGAGGGGAGCCGGAGGCTGAGGGGCGGTCGCCGCCGCCCTGGCCGGGTTACTTACAGCCTCTCGGTGTTGCGGGGGATGTTCCTCGGGACGCCGCGTAGCGCCAGCCCGTGACAATCCACGGTGCTGCCCGAGCAGGAGCACTGCGCCGGGCACGGCTGCGGCGCCACCGCGCCCGCCATCGCCAGCAGCAGCCCCAGGGACAGGGTGAGCTTCCCCCAGCCGCACATCATCACCGCCCGGGCCCACCGGCCTCGGCCCCGGGGAGGCGCGGGGCGCGCCGCCCTCCTCCTCGCCGCGGGGAGCGCTCCGGCAACTTTCAGGGTGCGGAGACAGGGAAGTCCGTTCTATCCAAAGCCAAGTCAAGAAAACAACCCCGGCAAAGTGAGGCGGGTGGCACCGCTCCGCGGTTGAAGGCAACTTCGCTGGGCGCGGGGCCGGGCCCGGGCCGTCCCTCGCTAAGCCCGTCGGTGGCGGGGAGAGGCGGCACTTGGAGTCTAGTCTTCACACGCTCCCTGCGATGGCGAAGCAAACCCACAGGGCTCAGGGTGCGGCGGAGTTGGGCGATCTACTTATCTTCCTCCTCGCCCCTTCCAAAGCCGTGATGCCCCGCTGAGCCCCGGTGAGAGGCCGCGGAGCTCGGTCCGCCCCAGCGGCGCTCTCTGCGCGGCGGCCCGAGCAGCGCTGCAGCCGCTCCCACGCGCGTCCCCCGCCGCGGGCCGCTCAGAGCCCCACGGGGGGCGGCGGCGGGGCTGACACCGCGCACACACCGCCCTGCCAGAGGCGCCTTAGCAAATCATACCCCTCTCGCAGGCATTCATCAAACTGTCTCAAGGAAGGAGGAGGGAAGGGGAAAGAAAAAAAAGTCAAACACACGAGATGCTGTTGGGCTTGGCTCTCCACCCCCCGCGCCCCCTCCTGCTGTACGCTCCCAGGCCAAGTTTAGCAGGAAAGGGCTGGTCTTAGAACACGATAATAATAAGCAGCCGAGAAGTGATTCGTTGCCCTGCTGGAAGGGAGTTCATCCACGACCTTCTCCTCGGTGACAGATCACAGTTATAGATCCTCCTGTGATCCCGGGAGCACGGCGAGACAGAGAAGATAACAAGCGATGTGTAGCGAGAGCGGGAGGGGCGGGGAGGAGGGGGGGTGTTATTCTGCTCCCCGTGGTCTCCCGGATACCGTGGTTTTGCTGCGGCAAAGGCACCTGATGGGAAAGGTGGGAACTGCTCAGTCCTTCCAGGTGAGGCCAGTTCAGCAGCTCCTGGGCTTGCTGCAGGAAAGGGAGCAACTTTCCTCCTCTCCCGAAGCCCACCGAGGTTACAGCACCTCGGGAAGGGTTGGTTCCCCTGCTCCCGCCGGTGCACCTGAACTGTCGGTGCTGGTGCCGAACAGCCCGGCCCGGCCCTCGGCTCCCCGGTGGCGGCGCTCCTCCGGCGTGGAGGGAAACGACGGAGGGGGGGCAGCGGGGAACGGGAGAACGGAGGCGACACGCCGGCTCCCTCCCTCTCACCCCGCGTCTCTCCGCTTGAACAATGGGATAGCACCGCCGCTCGCAGGCCGGCCGGCTCTCCTTCCCGCCGCAAGGTGCCTGCCGCCGCCCGCCGAAAGTGCTTCCCGAGCGCGGCCGCCGGCCGAACGAGCCGCCGAGCGCTCCCCACGCGGCCGCACGGCGCCCCCGCCCGCCTCTGCCGGCTCGGCGCCTCTCGCCCCGCTCCCACGGAGCCGGGAGAGATCCACGCGCCGCTCTATATAGGGCCGGCATGGCCGCGCCCCCCCGGCCCCGCCTGCAGCGCCCCTCGCCGCGCTCACTGGCTGCGCCGCCGCCCGCCCCGGCCCGGCCCGGCCCTGCCCCGGCCCGGCCAACGCGGGGCGGGGGGTGCGCGGCAGCGCGGGCGGTGAATGAAAGTTGGAGAGCGGGGCGGTGGCGGGGCAGGCAGGTCCCCCTATCTCGACAGGGGAGCGTCGCGGAGCTCCCCTCTCCGCTTCCCTCTCCGCTTCCCCCTCCGCTCCCCCCTCCGCTCCCCTCTCCGCTCCCCTCTCCGCTCCCTGCCGCACGGAGCTCGGAGTTGCTGCGCGGAGTTTCTCACGCAACCCCGGCCTGCGCGTGTCGAGCGCTCCGCGAGGGAGAAGGGAGGGGAGGGAGCGGGGCCGGGGTCCGTCGTGATGCTCGAGTGTGTTTTACCTGGAGAGGGAGCGGGCTGAAACGCCACCGGCTGCACTTGGGAAATATCTGAGGCGTCTCACCGAGGATCTTGGGTGAGATATGGGATGAGGATTGTCGTGGCATGTTCTTCGGTTGCAGTTTTAGAGTGAAACCCACCAGAATTTCTCATACATCATTGACAAAAATTAAATGGGCAAGTGTTATTCCATACATTAAAATATGTCGAGCAGCAACATGAACACTGCTGTACTTGTTTAGAAAACACCTTCCATTTTTTAAAAAATTGTATTTTAAAAACACACAATGTTCCTAATAAATTTTCCCAGTGTGTTGTTTATTGTCAGTACATCTCCAGCACTTTTTTAGGAAAATAGTAAGTTGCATCTCAACAACATCTGAATTGTTTTTGTTCTTCCTTGCTTGTGAATTCAGTTCCATGCGATTCATAACAGCTCTTGAGACCCAGTAATAGGTGAAAGTGATTTGTCTTTCATTAGACGGCAAACCCCAGTAGGGATGACTAAGCCTTCAGCAAGGTGTAGCTTGGAAATGCTCAAGGGAGTCTATCGTTTCTTCCATATGGCTGGGTCCAGCTGAGTCTCTTCGTCCCTGGGGTCTCTGCTGCACAATCCCTGCAAGAGGCTTACCATCTCTTTTTGCCCGTTACCAAGAGGACAAATTCTGTTTTCAGAAATGCTATTCTAGAGCTGAGTTAATCTGCTGAAGTGGAAGCCAACAAAGTTACTCCTGGCTTCTCTTGCTGCAGAATGTGAGCCCAAAGGAAAATTGCTAAAAATGCACCTACAAAAGCTTTTTAGTTTTTGATCCATTTGTTTAGAAAACAGTCAGTAAATAGGATTGTTTCACTGTTTTCAAATGCTGATAATGGTATCTTGGGTCTTACAGAGACGCAAAGATACTCCAGTTTTTACATTGATGCAGAAAGGAGAATTCAGTGAATGTAGGGGGAATTCATCAGCTTCCCTGTATAAATGGTTTTCACTCTTTTCTCCCATTTGCTTGTTTTAAGTCTTTACAAAGGATTTCAAAAGGATTTTGCAAGTTTCTAGCAAGCAACAGAAAAGTAAAAAAAAAAAAAAAAAACACCTTAATCTAACATATTGCTTTTATGCCTCTGCTAAAATCCTTTATCATATAACTCCAGGCAGACAAAAACCAGAAAAAAAGTAAATGTTAACAAATGTTACCCATTCAGTATTCTTCGTTATTTGTTTCAGCAATGTACCAGCAATGTGCTTAGTCCTGCAGAAGACATAAAGATAAGAAACAATAAATCTTTTTAATATAGTAGTTCTCAGAAAATCTAAATCAATTCTTAGAGCACTAAACATTGCTAAACTTCTTTATGTAGAGCTGATTCAAAATCTAAACTACTCCTAATTTAATATGCTTTGTTTCCAAAGAGAAGTATACTAAAGATAAGCAAGATTAATTTTTATTCCTATTTGGGGGGTTCATTGATTTTTAACATGCCCACCTTTGAAGCATACCTTTCATTCATTCAGATTGATTTTCTTGAGTGTCTTGACTGCCAGCATATTGAAACTTTCTGATCAAAACTCTTCAGTGGGAGAGCTCCCAATATCTGAATTTGTCTGACCATGAGGCCTCTCAAACACATTCTAGTATCCTTACTGGGATATGAACCTTGTCCCACAGAGCGCCCCATGGCTGCAGAATTAACTATAAGCCACTTCCAAGGTTATGACGGAAAATATTCGCATAAAGGAAGAAACTGGACAAAAACTTTAATAACAAGATATGTTAAAAGAAAAACAATTGGAAACATTCATCAGTGGAAGAGCAAAAATTTAGTTACAGCCATTTCGGAAAAAAATTACATCAGCTAAAAGCAATTTTCTCTTCTCTAGATTTCTTTGTGCAACATTCTACCCTTTGAAGGGTAATATAAAGGGATACTCAAAAAAGCTAAGGAGATCAGAATTATTAGCATAAGGAGATCAAAGTCAATAATAATAATAGGTAACATCTTCAAAACAGGATCCAGAACATCAAAAAAGCTGCTACTCCCAAATGAGGTTGGTAACAGTGACTCTGGCTGAGCACAAAACTCTGTGCTGTGTAGACACATCTGACGGAGCTCAGTGAGCACAATCAGCTCTATGAGCATCACTATTGCTTTACAAGGACATTAGACCTAAAAGACACTGAACCGAATGACTCATCAATTTGTAAATAACTGAAGGTCAATAAGGTGATAGAAAAAATGGCCAACAGAGGTATTATGAAATAAAAACAATTTAAACTAAGCTGTTTTCCTTCTTTGACAAGGTAACTAGTTTCTGGGTAAGGCGAAAGTATGATAGATGGTGATGTTAGCAGGCCATGTACCACTATGCACATTCTCCTAAGCAATCTACTTAAATATAGTCAAAATCTAATTGCTGGAACGTGGGCACTTAACTGACTAAAAAAACCAAAGCCTATATTCAGAATATGGCTGATGGTCACTCTGTGAGTCTATAGAAAGTAAACTCTTTTAAAAAGCAGTTGAGACTATTATGCTACTCAATGATTCCATTAGCGATTGAAAATTAAGTATAACTATTAACAGATGATACCCGAGTGGAAAGGGATGCAAGGATATTGCAAAACAGAATGACAATTCAGAATTATTTGGATAAACTGGACAAATCACATTTAATTAGTAAATCTTAAGGAAGATGTGAACGTAACGTATTCAGAAAAGAAATTCAAATGCATAAATGCAAAATAACTTGCTGGGCACCAGCACTCCTGAGAAGGATATGGAGATGAAAATGTATCATCTTAAATTTATGAGAAAGGAGACTCCATTACAGAAAGGTACATGTTATTATGATGAGGTATATATTGCATAAGGAAGGTGGGCATTCTTAATTGCTTACTAATTACTAAAGCTTCATATAAGCTTCTTTCAGCTTGGAGTAGGCTAAAGTCTTCAGTTTTGGACACCTTTCCTAAAATATGCTGTAAATAAATAAACCAGAGAGACTCCAGGGAACAGAACGAAGAATACGAGTTTAAATAAACATGAATTATGAAGTTTGAAAAAAAGTGCAGTTTCCTAGTTTAAAAACAAACAAACAAGCAAACAAGAAAAACTTCTCACCCCAAATCAGTATCTGAGGCAAAGAAAAGACATAATAATACTTCCTTAAATTTAAATTCTTCTCTAAGCAGCACAGTGCTCAGTCAGTATTCACAACCCGTAAAGGGCTTAATTTTCAGGAAGGTAGGTTTGTGAGTCTGAAGAGCTGAGAGTAAAGAAGGCTTTGTAAACTAAAAGATGATAGTGGTATCTTCTTCATTGCCTGAAAACCAAACTTTTACTGAAAATTTTTAAACAGATTAAACACATACTAGATAAGAATCCAGATATACTGGATCTTTCAGTGTCTAAGTTGGGACATTAGATAATTGTCTTTTCAGATTCCTTTTAGCTATGATTTTTCATGGGCATAAAAAAAATAACAATATTATTAATTGTCAAAGAGGACATCTGGTTGTTTTTATTATTGTTTATTATTTATTATCACATATTTATAATTCAGGATCATCTAGTGCTTCCAGTCAGAATTGTGCTTGGAAGTGAAGTGGTACAAAAAATAGGCTCACAACCTCCTGTATTTTCCTTTTTATGTAGAGATGATATGTGAAAGGCAGAAAGTCATGTAAGTTTTTTGTTTTGTTTTGTTTTGTTTGTTTGTTTGTTTGTTTGTTTGTTTTAATGACAACTAGATCCTTTTCTCTATCAAACTATTTATTGGCTATTTACTTGTAAGCAAGTGTAGACCTTGTGGAACAAGAAATGCAGAGATAGTGCTAGCACTCAAGAACAGATGAGAAAGATTGTGCCGTGATCAGTGCAAAAGAAGTCGTGAGCAGAACACAAAAGAAATGTAGGAAAGAAAAAGGATGTTGGAGAAAAATGAACACATACAGTGAGAACAAAAAGCTTGAACTTGCAACAGAAGAATGGAGAAACCATGTATTGCATTGCTAAATAAACATGAGAAAAACCCTTCACACTTCTTTCTAAAAATCTATTACCACAAAGATACAAAGGGATAGGTGTAACCTATTGGAAACTGCGGTTAAATATTATTTAAATAATATTCTACTTTTAATGCTTCCAAACATTTACTACTTATGACACTCTTTTTGGATGAATTTGAGCCTGTATTTTCCAAGCATTAAGTATGCTGGTATTTCACAGTGGACTACAGCATGAAGAGCAACTTGGACGTTGTAAGTGTATCTACACAATAGTTT